CCCAAGACAAGGCCCACTGCCGAACCGACTCCCGCCGACAAAAGGTGGAGGCAACAAGGCGCCAAAGCGCACACTCGACACTGATCGGCCTGAGGCCATCCACATCCACAGCACCGTCATCCCTCGGCTCCTTGCCCTTAGGGATCGAGCACATCAAGATCTCACACCACGCAAGGCGAAAGAAACCAGAGTCAAACCAACACCGCAGAACCTGAGCGAAGTCCATCCAGAAGTCCATGGGAGCATCCTGAAGCTCAGCAACAGTCCACCCGGAAGGACCGGCCGCAGTAGCCGTGGCAGTAACGATGATACGAGACAACTCCTCCGCCGTAAGGTGCTCCCAACGCAAGCGTCAAGGATGTCCGAATCAGCCGGCCTAGCTGGGGCCCACACCTGCCGCCAGTGGTCACGCAGCAGGGCCAACGAACCACCAGGAGCACGCGAAGCAGGCCCGCCATCACGGCACAGAGACTGAGGAACAACCTGTGACCGACACTTAAGCCACTGATGCGCATACCGACCCCCAGAGGTCATGCGCTCCACCACACTCTCCTGCGCATCCCAATCCTCACGCCAAAGAAGACACGAAGGCCACGACTGAGTGATGCGCCTAGACTGATGCTGGGCAGCCGGGCCCGAATCCACACGGCGATGCTCACGGATGCGCCCAAGCAACTTGGCGAAGCGACGGCACCTGAAGCCTTGGGCATCATCCCGACCTTTACCAAAGTCTCCTGACGTAGTGGAAGAGACAGGAGAGCCCTATGCAGCTTGACCCGAACACAGGACCGAAGCGCCGGAGACCCAAAGAAGGCACGAGCTCTCGCAAAAGCCTTCTCGAGCCGCTTATTGACAGCATGCCACTCAAGCTCTGTAGTCGGCTGAGAACCAGGAGCCTCGAAGACAGGAACACCAGGCAGAGCACTGTAACACTCAGCAACCTTAGCACGCCACTCAGCAGGGCTGACCCCCGCGGGAACCACGTAGGCACCAGTAGGGCGAACGAAGAAAAGCTGCTCACGGACAACGCGGAGCCAAGAGCAGACACACTCAAAGCCCCAGTGATCACCGAAAGCTTCAGTAAGCAGACGGGCCCGAAAGTCCACCGAAGCACACGAGACCAAATAGTCAATGGCCCGCGTGCCACCGTCACGAGTGGGGAGAAGCCGCCCCTCAGCACCGGAAGCAGCAGCAACAACAGCGCCACTGGCACAGGGTGAAGCACCGCGGCCGACTGAAGGCGAGTGTACAGCCCCCCCTCAGACACCGCACTGGGCCGCTGCCAGAGGAAGGCAACACCACGTCCACAGACCTCCAAGAGAAGAAAGTCCCCAACAAGGTGACCCGAGTACCTCTCCAACTCAACGGAAGCCAGATTTGACAGCAACCGCAAGGCCGTTGCGGTAGGTCACCCTGCCCAATAAGAGTCAACGACTCTGTGCCCAGGGATCACCCAAGCTTTGTAACCCAGCTGAGAGGCAACACGCTGCCAGCTCACAGCCTGTCGCGGGGAGAGCCTAGCCTCCTGAAGTCCAAAAACATCCGCCCCGTCAGCGGCAAAACTTTGGAGAGCAACGAACGCAGTGCCCGAACCTGCACAGTTGAGACTACACACACGCAAAGATGCACAAGGCCCAGGATGCGGACGGATGCCCTCCTCACACAAGTCACGCTTCCACCCGCCCGCGCGGCGCAGGCTCTTGACACCAGGAACCTTGGCCACAGCAGCGCGCCGCCCGCGAGGCGTAACAACAGACACAGCAGCCCGTCTGGTGAGCCGACGTCGCTCAACGACACTGAGCCCCCACGCAAGGGCGAGAGCACGACGCCGCTCAGTGTTCATCTTCCAACAAGCCGCTAGAGCAGGAGACTGAAGAGTGGCAGCTCTCCCCTCTTTGCCTGTGCGCCGGCCACGACCTGCCGCACGAACTGAGCTGGTCGGGGTCGTAACACCGCAACAGGCACACCAGGCAGGTCCAACAAGAGTGGCGAGAGCTCCCAGCACGAACTCCCTGGGCCTTCGGAACAAAGGTCATCTTGTGACCGCGCGCCTCGAGTTCGTCAGCAAGCTGTCTTTGCTTCCTGTGCCTTCGAATGAGGTGGTTGTAGCCCTGAGCAGAGCGGTCACCTACCACGACAGAGCCTGTTGCAGCTAACAGCGCACGGTTGGCCTCACGAGCCGAACATCCGCCATGATGGTGATTCAAGTGTTCAGTGATGCTCTTTTGCCTCACGTAACCCTCTAGCTTAGGGAGCCCCATGGAGCACAGCCCACACTTCCACTCACCGGGCCCGCTACCAACACCATGCTGGGCCTCGACCCATGAACACTGAGCATGCCGAGTTGGAGTACGACGACCTTTATGGTGTCGCTGCAAACGCTTGTACTTGGCAGCGGTGACCTGTCGAGCAGTGGAGCATTGCACACGCCAACCACAGTGAGGACAAGACCAAGAGTGCACCTTCTCTGGACCGTTTGTTGGGGCGGAAGCACGGCTGGACTTGCTGTCGGGAACACAGGTAGCAGCAGACCGAGCTCTCCCAGGCTTCACAGGCAGGCCTTAGGGGTCTTAGGGGTAGAAGCACGGCTAAACTTGTTGCCTGGCCCAAAAGTAGCAGCTGACCGAGTGCTGGGTCTGGAGCGATCCGACCTGGGCAACTTGACAGGGTCTTCAGGCGGGGCCTTATGGGTCCTGGAGGCAGAAGCACGGTGAGGCTTGCTGTGCGGCATCAGACCGAGCTCGCTTAGGGTCCACAGGTGAGGCCTTAGGGGTCCGAGGGGCAGAAGCACGGCTGGACTTGTTCCCTGGCCCACAAGCAGGAGCTGACCGGGCGTTCGCTCTGACGACCTGGACAACTCCAAAAGTCTTCAGGCGAGGTCATAAGGGTCCTAGGGGTAGAAGCACGGCAGGACTTGCTGTCAGGCCGAACTCTCCCACGGTTCTCGGGCAAGGGCTTAAACGTCCCAGGGGTAGGAGCACAGTTGGACTTGCTGCCTGACGCAAAGGTAGTCGCTGACCGAGCCCTCGATCTAGAACGGCCACTCCTACGAAAACCTGACATCAAGTCCTCGTGGTCCTCTGCCGACGAGACATAGGCACTGGGGGCCCAAACCTCGGAAACTTGGGCAAAGACCTGGCACTGCCACCGCCGCCTCGCTGGAAGTTCTCCAGATCCTCACTGTCCTTCAAGTCGTGAACCCAGGCAGGAATCTCACGACCAGCCTTGGCCTGGACAAGCTGGTAATGCCCATCCTTGGAAAGCAGGTAAGCAGTGCACGAGCCCTGGCGTTGTCCGTAGACAACAGTCTGGCTTGTCCTGGCAACTTTGTTGATAAAGACAACAATTCTCGAGCGGAATCGGGCGCAGCAAGCACGGCCGCCAGGTAAGCGGGCCAGGTAGTGGGTGCACAGCCGTCTTCAAGCCGCTGCTGGGTCTCCTCGTCGAGGTTGGCATCATCGACGGCGAAGTAATCACGGTATCTGCTCTGTCGATTTTCGATGAAATCCGCAACCTCGCCGCGCACAGCGCGGCCCCTCGAATCGGCCCTCGAACGGACAACTTTAGAGACTTCGCCCCATCCAAGCTTGTCCTTCTCCATGGCATAGGCAGCGGCAAAGCAATTGTGGAAGCAACAACCATTGCCCCCACTATCGGTAACGAGGCACCAGTCCTCGTCCTTTGCCGTAACCTGGACCTTGGCTCGCTTTACAGCAGCTCCTCCACTGGCGTCCGCAGGCTGCTTCCTGCCTACCTGACCAGCGGCGTCGCTGGGAGCAAGAGCGCCATTTTGGGCCGTCGCACTGCCGTGAGAGGAACCCTCCGCTGGCTTCATTTCCGTGTCTTTGCCATCGTCGGCGGCAGGCGCGGTGACCTCGCCCTCAGCCTTGTCACTGCTGTTGTCGAGGCTTTCCTCGTCGACGTCCATGACCGCCACGTCGGGTTGTTGGCGGCCACGCCCTTTGCCCTTGCGAGGGGCATCGACAGCCCTGCTTTCGAGACTCTGTCGTGTTTTGCCAGCCAGACGCTCAAACCTCAGCTTGAAGAAAGAACCCGCCTCTGAAGCTCGTGGCACCTCGACATGGAATGACATATCATCCGTCCGCTTGGGATGAGTGATACGCACCAACCAAGGCCTGCCTGGGGACTGGTCCAGAACATCGATCGCACCGTCGACGCCGACCCAAAGCAGCAAGGAGGTCGTCGGTGCTCCAACCCATTGGCGCTCCACGAAGGCGCCAAGTGACAGCCTGGGCCATAGCGGTGCCGTCGGGAATGCGAATGCCCAATGACTTCCCTCCACCACGCCTAAAGGCCAGCGGGCTCCCCACGCGAGAGGCCTCCTCCTTGGCATGCTGGTAATACTCAATGCCCGTGGATCCTTCGGGAGGTTCAATCCACTGCACCTGACCACCGCGGCTGTCCTTGGCCAGCTTGGAGACGAAGACGGCACCCTTACCGATCCCATCCACGAGCTCAGACGGAACACGAAGGAGGCCTTGAAGCACAATCTCCTTGCCCTTGCCCTTAGCCTCGCCAGGCCCAGCAACAGTCTCCCACTTAAAGGACGAGCGCAGTTGGCCGAGCTTGCCTTTCACGTAGTCGTCAGGGTCCGCGAGGAAGTTTCGCCACACCGTCTCGTCCAGAAAAGCTTTGGGCACCGCAGCCCTCAACAGCGACAAAAAGACCTCTCGGGCGCCGAGAAAGTGGACCGCCGCACCAAATCCATTGCTCCAGGCATGTCCTTGGAAAGGGGAACGCACCACCAGCGCTGAATGTCCTTGCGAAGGCCCTTGACAGCAGGGTAGGGCCTGAGGGAGGCGTTCGGGTAGTCCTTGACCACATCATCGGCTGGCCCATGAAACTCCAGGAGAATGGCGACATCCTTCTTGACCCCCGCGAGCTGCGCCTGCTGCTGCACTTGCACAACCTGCTCGAGACGAGGCCACGACGACATCCCACCTCCAGCCTGTTGCATCCTCAGACTTGCACAAGAAAACGCTGGCCCATCGGCGTCGGAAGACTTGCTTGCTGATGTACCCGCCCGGGGAGTCCTGGGAGGGTGCATCCGCCCACAGCTCGCCCTCGTCGTTGATGAACTCGCCTTCGTCATTGATTTCATCTCTGCCCCCCTTGCCAAGAAGAAAAGGCATGAGAAAAGTAGCCACCAGCAGGCAAAACAGCCAAATCATCATCACCCCGGCCCGCTTGAGAAACCCAAACAAGCAGGCCAAGCTATCCTCGATGATTTGTCTCCTGGCTTGCGCCGCCAGGATCCGGGTGCGCCACGTGGAGAGGTAGCACCAGGCAGCTTGCAACTCACCCTGACGAACCAACGCAGCGAGATCACAAGGCTTCCAGAGGGCCGCAAAAGCCTGAGCAATGGCCGCCGGCTCCACCACGTCCAAAACATTGCCGGGCCTGCCAATGGTTTCCTGCTGGGCCGCGTCGATGTCCAGGTGGTACTCGAGCAGCAGGTGGTTGGCGATGCCAAGACGGTGGGATGACCCGCCGCCCAATCAGGCCCAATCGATGCGTCGATGGCCGGTACAGGTAGGTGGCAAAGTGAAGCTGGGCTCGAAGTCAGCGTCCAAGTCGCGAGCCAGCCCCTGAGAAAAGACCGACCAAAGCTCCTCACGAGTGGCGTTGTAGTCCCCGATGGAGACCCACGGCAGGCCCACACAGGTGAGAGCTCCGAAGAGCTCTTCACAAAGCACCTTAGTAGCCGGAAGGTCCATCGCGAAGCTGTAGAAGTCAACCGCCAGGAACTTGAAGTAGCCATTGGCGTGCGGAACCTCGATGAGGGCCGCAGCAAAGCGCGTAGCGTCCAGCCTGTCGCCAAGGGCAACTGGTGAAGCAGCCAAAGAGGTGAGGAGCCCGATGCGGATGACTCTGCGCATCTCTGCGCTCGTCCGGTCGGGCTGCAAAGAACTTGTAGCCTAGTTTCTTCCAAGCCTCGCAAAACCGAGGAAGGCTGTCAACCGGGATATCAGCCTCCTGCAGCGCAAAAATGTCTGCACCCTTCATGGCATCGTGTATGGCCGGAATCTTGGCCACCCCATTAGTCAACATTCATGGAGCCTAGTCGGATGAAGACGCCGACGGTTCAACCTGCTTGATGGCTCCATCAAAGATCGAGCTCAGCACCTGCTTGGAGATGCCAACAAAGAAGGGGTTCTTCGCCCTGTGCTCTTTCAAAGCAAGCTTCTTGTCTGCCCGAAGTGTCTTCGCTGCCTTGCCAGGGTGTGGGTTCCACGTGGGGCAGCGGTGCTCCAAGAACTGCTTGTAGGTCTTGTATTATGAAAATCATATTCCTAATAACAATAGGATTCCTGGAAACCATAGAAATCGGCCAAAAATAGAAAAAACCTAGAAATAAAATAGAAATAAAATCGGTCCAAAAAATGTTTCGATTCCAAAATAAGAAATAAAATAGAAATAAAATCGATCCAAAACATGTTTCGATTCCAAAATAAAGAAGTAAAATCGTACTAAAATCGGCCCAAAAATGTTTCGATTCCAAGATAAAAAGAATTAAAATCGAAATTAAATCG